GGCTAGCTATCTATTTATCTATCTATCTACCATCTAGCTAGCTGGCTATCTATCTATATCTATCTATCTATCTACCATCTAGCTAGCTGGCTATCTATCTATCTATCTATCTACCATCTAGCTAGCTGGCTATCTATCTATCTATCTACCTATCATCTAGCTAGCTGGCTAGCTATCTATATCTATCTATCATCTACCATCTAGCTAGCTGGCTAGCTATCTATTTATCTATCTATCTACCATCTAGCTAGCTGGCTATGTATCTATCTATCTACCTATCATCTAGCTAGCTGGCTAGCTATCTATATCTATCTGTCTATCTACCATCTAGCTAGCCGGCTAGCTATCTATATCTATCTATCTATCTACCATCTAGCTAGCTGGCTAGCTATCTGTTTAAAGCCACAGCACCAAGTCTTTGCTTTGTTATTGTTGTTTTCATCTGTTGCTGTCACCCCCAAATGTAGTGCCTTAAAGCAGCATTTTATTATCTTTCATGATTCTGTGGGTTGACTGGACTCAAGTGGACCGGTTTTCTGTTCCACGAGGCCATGGCAGAAGAGGCTAGTTATCTGGGGCTCGGCTGAGCTGGAGTCTCCAAGACTCCCTCCTCGTGTAGCTGACAGCTGGTGCTGCCTGCTGACTGGTACCCCAGCTGAGCTATCCTCAGGGTGCTTGGTTCCCATCCACATGCCATGTGACCCAAGCTTCTGGTATCATGGAGGCCGAGGTCCAAAAGCAAGTAAGCAGAAGCCACCGGCCCACTTCAGGTCTGGACTCGGAAGTCCCAGAACACACTTCTGTAGGAGTCCTTTGGTCAAGGCAGTCACAGGCCCAGCCCAGGCTGGGCAGGGGAATAGATCCTACATCTCAACCGGTGCGTAAAGGAAGGAATGAATTGATGGTGGCCGTGTTTGGAAACTATCAACCACACCAAGTATATTTCCCCTATTTTACCCTGAAAAAACCAACAATACATAAGCATACTATGTTATTTATATCTATTTGGGAACACTTAAAGATGTTTCTTTAGCTGCAATTTCTCTCTGCCCACTTCCAAAGAGGATGTGTAGTCGCTTTTAGTGAATGTAATACAGTAATTGTACTGTTGGCATCAAAATAAAAGATTATAAAAAGCCATGTAGAGATAAGAGAAAAGCATGCTAGAGAAAAGCTTGACTAAAATTGTTACTGCAATGGGGCCTCCATTCACTGAGTTCCTGCGTGCCCTGGAAAGGGGAAGCTAGCCTTTACCAAAATATTCCATTTGATTGAAGGGACCAGGGCCCGCCAATGGGAGAACCTCAAGAGGTAGGAACTTATAAATAACTTATAAATAACAACAGCATAGAAACAATCCCTCAACCACAGATGCAGAGCGCTCTTCTCCCAGAAAAGGAATCACATTACAGAGCGAGAGTCCTGCTGAGGGGACTTAAAACAGTAGGAACCAAACCAATGTCTGGGCCCCCTGCCGCAGACCCCTCAGAGCCCAATCTCGGAGCATAGGCTGGTTCCCAGACTTTTTGAAAATTCTTCTGAAGTCTGGTGAGCACCCGGGCCTGTGTTTGTGCTGAATTCCTCGCTGTCCAGCTCCTGGTAGTAATTGGTTGAGATGGTTGATAACTGAGCAAGGTTGATATCACATCAGGCCGTGACTCCAGGCTCTCCGGGAATCTCTGGAGCTCTGGATTACTGGACAGTGCGTGAGGCACTCCATCCAGATGTGAAGGTTGGTGGGAGGGCCACAGCGGAAATTCCAAAGAAGGCAATTAAAATATGTTAACCAAAACAGGAAACATCGGTGAGGTAGATGAGAGCGTTTTACTTCAGAAGTGTGATTTTATCAATACTTTTATTGTTCATATTTTATTTTTAGAGGTATTTTTCCAAACAAGCCCAAACTTTACTTCTCACTCATTCTAAATTCTTGTGTCTTTTTCATGCTTGCATTTGGGGCAAGATTGAGACAAAACACAAAACACTTTGTTCACGTTGGAGTGTCAGGTTCTTTTTGAAAAGCACGAAAGGAATTTTTACTGGTCAAGAGATGATGCTTCCTGAAGGAGAGAGGGCATCAGACCAAAGCACTGGTTTAATCAAAAAGATTTAGGAAGGAGTGAACACCTTTTTTCTGTGGTGACCAAAATGATCTCTGACCACTAGCAAACTCATAGCATCGGTACGCAGTGTGACAGATTTTCACAGCCACCTACTTCTCCAGATCCAAGATGGTTCTGTGCCCATACTCAGTGCATCCATGGCAAATTCACTGAATGTGAGAATTAGAACCTTCCAAAGAACAAGTATATTAGCCAATGATCATCATTATCATCTCTTTTTATTTTTTGGTCCTAAGAAATTTGGGACAAAATTAAATAAAAGGCTTTTGATTTAATTCAGCCTGTTTTTTGTGTATAAAGCTGCCATGTATTACCTTTACCTTAAAAAGTTACTGTGGGGGCTTCCCTGGTGGCGCAGTGGTTGAGAGTCCGCCTGCCGATGCAGGGGACATGGGTTCGTGCCCCGGTCTGAGAAGATCCCACATGCCGCGGGGCGGCTGGGCCCGTGAGCCATGGCCGCTGAGCCTGCGCGTCCGGAGCCTGTGCTCTGCAACGGGAGAGGTCACGGCAGTGAGGGGCCCGCGTACCGCAAAAAAAAAAAAGTTACTGTGAACGGACTGGTGAGTATGCTGTAGTTTTCCGTTTTGTGGAGTACCAGGCAGCTGTGAAAAGTATTGATGAAGGAGGTCAGGGACATGGAAAGTTATTTCCACTCAATAGAATGCTGAGTGGAAAAGAAGTATATTTCCTAATGTGTACACTGCAATGATCCCATTTTGCATATATCTATCTATCATCTATCTATCTATCTATCTATCTTTCTATACTTACATGCATCCACACATACCTTTTTTTTAAGATTTTTTTGATGTGGACCATTTTTAAAGTCTTTATTGAATTTGTTACAATATTGCTTCTGTTTTATGTTTTGGGTTTTTTGGCCACAAGGTATGTGGGATCTTAGCTCCCTGACCGGGGATCAAACCCGCATCCCCTGCATTGGAAGGCGAAGTCTTAACCACTGAACCGCCAGGGAAGTCCCCATCTACACATACCTTTAAAGGACATATACCAAAATGTCAACAGTGGCTATCTCTGATAATGTTTTATTTCCTTTTTATTGTATATATTTATTTTCTAGGTTTCATAGAAGAAATATGTGAATTCTTATTTTAAAAAAATTACCAAGACACTGAAGGAGCCAAGAACCCCAGGGGAGTAAACCTGCTGGTGGGTCTACACTATGAAGACCCAGCTTCTCTGGCAGGCAGCCCACAAGGAAAGCCACTTGCTCCCCTGACCGCCCCAAGCACAGACGTTAAGAGTGTGGGGTGAGACCCACCCTACTGGCTCTAATGATCGACCACACTTACGGAGAATTCATCTTCTGGGGAGAAAGTACAGCTGTAGGACAGGCAGATTCAGGACTGGACATTCAAGTGGGCATCTACTTAGGCTAGGAGATTAAGGATCTTCCAATCTGCATCCAGGTAGGACAGATGTGTGTCCACCCTGGGCTGGCTAGTCCTCTGGTGGCCCTACAAGCAGACATTTTTTCCCATAACCATCCAGCTTTTATCTGGAAGGGATGTTGCAACTTTCTGCTGTTTCTGAGGCGGCATGAATGGTGGTCTTCCAGAGTGGGCGTGGGACGATTGGCAGGACAGCTATGGCGCCCCTGGTACCACAGCCCTTGGGCATTGGCCAGCCCACCTTTTCCCCCAGCTCTGCCTGCCTTCCGTCTACCCAGGAAGGGCAGCCAGTGCCAGAATGAGCAGGGACTCGAGGTCCAGAGAGCTGGGTGGGGCCGATGGGGGTGGAAGGAAGTAAAGGAAGTCTTTACTTTATCACCTGCAGAAAGGTGTATCGGAGAAGCCCCTGCTGTGCTGGGCTGCACGAATACATGGAAATTGCCCAAATGCCCGGCCCCTACTGTGACTGAGTCACACGGTTTCCAGAGCACAGACAAAACAGGAAAATGCTCATGGGAAGGTAACTTCCTCAAGGGCAGGGATATTGGTCTGTTTTGTTCACTGCTGTCTGTCCAGTGTCTACAACAATGCCTGGTACAGAGTGGGCATCTGATGAATAAATTCACCCAGGAGTGCATGAATGAATGAATGAATGGAACTTGCTAGCAATCAAAGAAATACACATTACAACAATGATGTGGCATTGTTTTGTATATTAATCTGCCCAAAAGTAGCATAATGAAAAACACTCACTCCTGGTGAAATCTGATGGCATCTGCCATGTATCTAGTATTAACGGCAATATGTATTAATATAAATCTTTTGGAAAGCAATTTGGTAACAGAGTTATTTAAGAAGTTGCTACTCAGTAATTCCAGTTCTAGAAATTTATGTTAAACAGGTAAATCAGAAGAAGGACAGAGCTGCATATATAAACTATTCCTTGAAACGTTATTCATGACTGTAAAGAGAGGGAGGCAGTCTGAACGGCTAGAACAGTGGACGAGCAGAGAGCTTGTGGTGGTGATTAAGGCCTGTGAAACAGTGAAGCAAAGTGGCAAGTGAGAAAAAAGCAGGGATGCAGAAGTGTCCATATAAAATGAGTGTGACCATAAAATATATTCTGGGGAAAAGCCTGGAAGGATGGAGAGTGTATGGATTTTTTTTCCCTTCTAATTTTTGTCATCGAAATATTCTTAACCAAAAAGAGCTTAACCAAATAAGACCTCCCTACAGTACACCATGCACCAGTAAGCACACATACGGCGGCTAGCTCAAGGCGCTCACTGCTTACGCAGCTCCCAAGACAGAGTGGTCTGCCCACCGCCCGCTCACCCAGCTGAAGTGGGCCCCCAGCCTCCAGGTTTCAAGCCACTGGACAGCAGAGCCAGGGGGGTTTTCTGGCAGAGTTTGCCATGGGGTCGC